ACGCCAGTTGGTTGGAGTGCACCGAGTCTCGGATTTCAGCAAATGCTTAAATGCCCAGGGCCTCTGAGTTAGTTAGGCCCTGGGCTGTGAATGTGAGGCCGACAATGCATGCTGGGTATAGAGGCCGAAAATGCCAAAGGGAAATCGGCCCACTGTCTGAATCTGGCCGCAGGCCCTGATGAAAGAGGTGCAACTGCATTGCTCCGGGGCCCAACTGTATCGGGCTGAGTTCAGCCTCTCTGGGTCCCGGTCACAGGCTGAAGGGAGGCCGCCCACACGATGCACTGGCATATAGGCAAGCAGGGCGAGTGGGCAGGGATCTTGGCCAATGTTGGCATTGCGGGCACGCTGCGCGGATGTATGTGTGCTGCGCAGTGCAAAGCAGCGCTGCGCTAAGAGCAAGCAGGCCAGCGCTAGGCGGTAGGGGCGCTGCCTGCATGCAGGGCACTGGCGGCCATAGCCGGGCTGCATGATGGTGCAAAAGAGGTGAAGGGCGAAGGTGGTCTTCGGAGGTGAAGGGCGCTGTGTGGGTAACAAGGGAGAGTGTGGGGAAGAGGACACGTAGCTGGTGAAGGCGGAGGTCGGCATTGGTGTTGACATCATCACTCGCTGGTAGTCAAGTTGTCTGGTTGCTGTTCATTGCTGTAGTTGTAGGATAGGCTGTAGAGTAGATAGGGCGCCTGGCACCATTCACAAGAGAGAGCTACATTTGGGTTATGCTGTTGGTGTTGCCCTGTTGGGCATGGACATTGACTCATGATTCTTCTGTATCATTCTCAATTGGATGGTTACTCGGTTCCATTTGCTATCTGCTTTGGCTTTGACTACTTGGACTTCAGTGTGATTTTGCATTCTGGATTTATGTGCTTCGTCCATACTCATGTTCCTTGCAGATGCCGCTACTCCGGGTGTTGTACCTGCTGCGGCGCTGCCAACACCAGCAGCAGCCTGCAGTTACATATCCTGCAGCTACTGCTGCTCCGCACACACACACACACACGTACACACACACACACACACACACACACACACACACACACACACACACTCACACACACAAACTTCAAGCTGCTGGAACACTTGGTGAAGCAGCACTGGAGCCAACGGAGCTGCTGGGAAGGACCGGCCGGCGCTACTCCTCGGCTATGGTGGAGTAGGTAGGACAGGAGGAGGAAGAAGGGCGAAGGGGAAGGGGGAGCGACAAAGATACTTACCTGCCTATGGTCGTTGCATCTTGTCATGTAGATGATGCACTACCTGAAGCAGCTTAAGTGGCACAAGCCGCAGAAGCAGCAGCTGCCAGAGGTGCATGCGCTGCTGCATGTGCTGCAACACATGCAGATGTCGAAGCTGCTGCTGCTGCGGCTAGTACTGCTGAAGCTGCTGTAGCTGATGCATCGCATGCTTCATCTGCAACACACATACACACACACACACACACACACACACACACATACACACACACACACACACACGCGCGCGCGCGCGCATGACAAGATGGCACACACACACATGACAAGATGACACACAGACACATGACAAGATGACACACACACACATGACAAGATGACACACACACACACATACACACACACACACACGCACATAAACACACACACACACATACCAGCATTCATGCGAATACACTTAATGGCACGACCACACGAACCGACTGACAACAAAAGACAACGTCAACGTGGCATGGCTGATTACGAGGAGCAGGCACCGTGCATGAATGGAAAAGAAACAACAAAAGGTCTCTCTCTCTCTCTCTCTCTCTCTCTCTCTCTCTCTCTCTCTCTCTCTCTCTCTCTCTCTCTCTCTCTCTGTGTCTCTCTGCCTTCATCGGGCGCTATCCTCCTCTTTTTCGTTTTGTGCAGGGGGGCACTATCATGGGAGTCGTCATCAGAGGTGGAGGCTGCAGGATCAGGCATTGGCTGCTTGTCCTTCCGTTGCTGCCCTCTCAGGCGACCTGTCCCTCGTGCGGCACGAGCGCGACCTCTGCCTCCTGTGGAAGGAAGGCGCCCTCTGCCTCGCGGAGCACGATAGCCGAGCGGATCCCATACACGCCCGGGATGTGCTTGCCCACTACCGAGCAGGTGCGGCGGGAGACTGGCACCATAAAATGACCCCACCTCCGGGCGGCACTGACCTCCCTCTGCCTCGCCCTCATGCTCCCCGTGCCCCAGTGCCTCCTCCCCCTGCTGATCGTCGGCCTGCTGCTGCTGCTCCTCTATTTGCTGCTCCTCGTCAGCCTGCTGCTGCTGCTGCTCCACAACAGCCTGCTCATGGTGCTCCACAGGATGCTCCTCATGTTGCTGCACCTGCTGCCGCTGACTCTGGGACCTCAATCCATGTCGTGTGCCCGGAACATATGGTGTGATTTCCTCCCTCCTCGTCCACGATCTGTCAGAGTCTGACCGATCGTCCACCCACTCGTCATGTGGAATCTCGTCCTCGCTGTCCACATCGTCATCGTCCTCCTCCTCCTCCATGTCACCCCACTCCATACCCTCCTCCACCTCTYCTCRCCTCGGCACGCCTGCTGWTGTCCCGGCCGCAGCAGGATCATGGCGAATGGTGGTGCTACCYGCACYGGATGGAGCAGCCTCATGACSGAGCTCACCGTYGTCGACAGCGTCAGTCAAACCCGCCTGATCACCCTCCAAATCATCGTCAGCCCAGTCTGCTGCTAGCCCCAACCATCCTCCTACCACCGTTGGGCCGTCATCGCCCCTGCTCTTGAGCCTGAGGCTCCAGTGCGAGTACACTAACTTCTCGGTGCGCTGGTGGTGCAGCTTGTTCCTGGACTTCGTCTGCACAAGAGACCAAGTGCTCCAATTCCTCTCTGCTAGAGAGGATGTCGTCCAAATGTAGACCACCTTCACCACTAGAGCCTTGATCTCTGGATGGCCAGCCCCATGCGTCTCCCACCACAGCACCGCATTGTCCTTCTTCATCCTCTGCACCGCCTGTGTGGTGCCGAACACTCCTCTCGCCATCTGAAACTCATATTGTTGGTCCAAGCAGTCATCAAACGTCTTGCTCCCTCTCTTGCCGATGAGGCGCTCCACAACAGCCTCAAACTGCGTCATGAGCTCGACATTGCTGAAAACAGCAATGTCCCTCAACACTGGATCCAGCAACCGGGCCACGGCGTGGATCGGGCTGAGCAGCATATCTGTCCTATTCTTCACGTCCACCAGGACATCATCTTGCTCCTTGTCACCGAGGGGGGCCGAACGGACGAAGACAGGCAATTGACGGGCCAGGTCGTAGATCCGAGACAAGCAGTGGACATCCTTGTCCACCTCTCGTAGGACTTCATAAGGGCCTTTCATGAGGGTGGTCAGCTTCTTGACATCAGCCTAGAAGGCCCTGTCAAGAACAGTCTCCTCCACAAATAACGCCTTCCCCCTGATATCCCCCCTCCACACCATCCTCTCCCAGGCGAGTCCATTCACGATGTGTATGATGGCCCTGGCACAGACCTCCAGTCACTGCAGCATCACGTAGTTTGTCCCAAACCTCGTCTGAGCTGGGCGAAGTAGGGAGGTGCATTTAAGGTCAGGGTACTGCAACAACTGCGTCCGCAACTGCGATCGTGGCCACCTGTGCACTCTGAAGAAGGTGACCACCTTGTTGGCCTTCTCGATGATGGTCGCCGACCACTCCTTCTTGCAGATGTCGTGCATGAGCAGGTCCATGCAATGTGCCGTGCAAGGGATCCAGTAGATTTGCACGAATTCGGGATCCTCCCTCAACATCCGGGCAGCGCTCTTGTTCCTTGCGAAGGAGTCTGTGCAGATCGCAGTCACCTTCTCTACTCCCCACTCCCTGAGGAACCTCTTCCACCCAGCGACGACGGCAGCTGCATCCTTCTCCCCCTCGCTCACATCCTCGCATTTGATGAAAACGGGTTTCGACCGCCCGGCGAGGATGTAGTTCATAAGCGATTGCCCACAAATGTCTGTGGTGCCATCGGTTATGAACGTGCAGCCTGTCACATCCCAGTCGTCCCAGACCGCCTTCTCCTCAGCCTCCAACCTCCCGCGCAACCGATCAAGCAGCCTGCATCGTAGTGGGTTGTACCCAGTGGGCACAAGAGGGCAGCTCGCCGCAGGTTGCGGCCCATAACACGCCAGCTGGAACTTCTTGAAGCTCTTGCTTTTCGCGGCGTTGAACGGGATGGCGTTCTCGACGAAGAACTCGCAGCAGGTATCATCGATGTCCGCCTGTCTGGGGTTCTTCGCGTACCTGACGATGCTCGTCTGTCTAGCCGCCCCCCGTCTGCGGGCAGCCTGCTCCGCAGTCTGCGACAATGCAGGTCTCCGGACCAGAGTCTCTCCATCGGCCACAACCCCTCTTGTCACCTCATCCACCCCGCTGCCAGCCTCCCCATGAACCGCCTCCTCTGCCTCCCCATCCATCGCAACCCCTCCCCCTCGCTCCACCGCGTCGTCCTCCAGCACAGGACCATCATCGTCATCGCTGGCAGTCTCCTTTATTGCGCGCTACACCCTCTCCATAAGATCTGCTGGCATCTCAAAACCAACCCTGTGCAACCTCCTCCAAATCGCCATCGTTGCATTTGGACACCGGGCGGAGACCCTCTTCAAACAAAAGTGCTCCATCGCCCGTTTTTGTGTCCTTGTGAATTCCTTGTTGCACAGCTTGCAGCGCAGCCTCCTTGATCCACGAGCGTTCCCTGACAGCAACTGACCGGCAGTCACCCACGTCCACACCACGTGATCCCGCCTATGGTTGAGGTCCTCCCGGAAGGGGTCCCGCCCCACATCCGCTCTCCCTGCCCCGTCAGCGTTGTTGCTGGCCATAGCGCTGCCGACGTGGAAGCAGCAAACCTCGACCGGATGCTGCTGTGGTAGATGCTGCGATGGCCAGTCCTGATGTGGTAGCTGCTGACGAGGGAGGTGCGATGCGGAAGGATGCCGACTGTTCAGCTACACTCCCCGGTGCTGCTTGCCATGTGCCGGGAAGACGACGTTCCAGTTCTGCTCCAACAGAACGACAGAACAAGAAGACGACGACATGCCACGTCAGCGAAACGGGGGACAAGAAGAATAAGACAAAATCTGACAAAGTTCAGAAAAAATATGGAAAAAAAAAAAAAAAAAGAGGACGAAGGGGAGGAACAGGACGCAGATAGGGCGGGGGAGGAAGGGGGGGGGGAAGAAGAAAGGACGAGAAGGAGGACGAAGAAGAAGAAAAAAGACCAGGGGGAAGAACAAGATGCCGAGGTGGAGGAGGAGGAGGAGGAGGAAGAGGAGGACGAGAAAGATGGAGGGGGAGGAGGAGGACGAGTACAAGGCGGAGGAGGAGGAGAGAATGAGGAGGAGGAGGAGAGAATGAGGAGGAGG